ATATAATAGTAATAATTATGAGTGAACTCATAGTATAGAAGCGATTATTTATTGCCGATTCAGTGCTCATCACTGGTGGCATCAAACGGGTGACCAGTTTTCGTGTGTTGTTTTAGGGGTCAAAACTGATACACCGTTTGCCTTTCCACGTGTTCACCGTCACATCCAATCGCGACTAACGACTGGTGTAATGAAAAACAATTTACGATAAGTTTTTTGCCGTAAAAATTAAATACAATGACATTGTTATGCTTTTATGGGCTCATCATTAATGCATAACAAAAACAACACCAAAAACAAGAATAATATATCGCTTTAGCATTCAATGGAATTGATTTTCATTGAAATACATTTATCGCAACATTTTTAGACAGAAAAAGCGAGTGACAGAAATTCAGGCATACCTGTGACATATACCTGTGCGCGCCTACATCTCGACAAATAAAAAAACTATTAAATAATCACGGCTTTTTTGGTTGGCAGGTGTTTGTATATACCTGAAAATAGTGTCACAACAAAAACAAATGTCAAGTGAGAGACAAGTCTTGAATTTTTGATTAAATCTCAAGTGAATTGAAAACATAATTTTTATTGCTATTTATTTGTGAATCTATGATAAATGCCAATAATAATAATAGTATAATAATAGTCATTATAATTTGAAAATAAAAGAAGTGTTTTCTCCCCTCAGAAAATATGTTAAATTTTATACAAATAATATGGTAAAAACTTACATACCACAAAATACTTATGTACTTATCAATCATACGAAAGTTAAAAAGTCTCTTTCTATATAGCTCAGAATATTTAACAAAAAGTAAAATATACAAATATTTCACTTCACAAGTTTCATTTATTATAATAAAAAGATTTTTCGAGAGCTATGTTTAAAATAAAGTGCTTTTGTGTTGAACTTATAATCATTATTTTCTATGTAAACATTTTCATAATAACTATGAATGCAAAGAATATTATTTTTGGAAAACTTCTCATTGATATGAACGGAAGCCTTAAAGTTCCTGTATTTGTGTAAGTCTTATATAATATATGAGATGTATATAATATATATTATGTTTAAGATATTCTGTTATATTATTCAGACATTCATATGAGACTATTTTTATAAGATTCCTAAAATTGTATACATGCATAAAATTTTGATAAAAATAAATATTTGCATAAGGGAGCATACAGTAGTTTGAAATTACTATTTGTATAAATTTATTAGCTTCTGTAGGCAATTATTCACAGGAGTTTAATAAAAGTATTTGTTTTGTTGTTAATTAATTAAATAAATACTAATTCGCAACAAAATCTACTTGCAAAATAAATTTTATTACATATGGATTGTCTATTAAGTTTACTTTTTATCCAATTAGTCCACAGACTATAAACCTTTCGTATAGTTGACTATACGTTAGGAAAGCATTTTGCAAATTAGATTTACTCGCATTAGGGTTCAGATTTGACATAAAATAGTTTATGTAATTATCTGTTATTATCTCATGACATGACATGTCTGTACTCGAAGGCCCATCTCATGGCTTATACACGACATCGAAAGCGCTAAACTAATCGGACAGAAGTCGGACTTCACTAACAAAGACTTTATGTAATTATCTGTTATTATCTCATGACATGACATGTCTGTACTCGAAGGCCCATCTCATGGCTTATACACGACATCGAAAGCGCTAAACTAATCGGACAGAAGTCGGACTTCACTAACAAAGACCTGAAAGAAGATATGATGACATCGGATATGACGCCAGACATCAACGGAAACTTCAACAGAGAGTCCAAAAGGGATGTATACGAGGGACAGGACTCCAGGAAACACATCACAAATCGGGTGTCCGACAGTCACACCACCAGTGAATCGATCACAGATATGGATGAAGGGATCACCACTGAAATGGTGCCCACGAATAAGGAACCGGCATTAAAACAGACTATAAAAGACGATTTGTTCACAAATTCAGACATGAGATTAGGTATTGAAACAAAACTCTATTGATTTATTTTATTGATTTGATGTACAAATAAATATAAATATGTTTTTATGATTGCATTGAATGCACTGTTTGTTTAGCACTCGAATCAAATCGTTATAAATGGTTAGCAAAGAAACAGTTGGACGAAGAGATTATGTACTCACCGGAGGTTTGGCGCAAACAGGAGGACTTTATGTAATTATCTGTTATTATCTCATGACATGACATGTCTGTACTCGAAGGCCCATCTCATGGCTTATACACGACATCGAAAGCGCTAAACTAATCGGACAGAAGTCGGACTTCACTAACAAAGACTTGAAAGAAGATATGATGACATCGGATATGACGCCAGACATCAACGGAAACTTCAACAGAGAGTCCAAAAGGGATGTATATGTGGGACAGGACTCCAGGAAACACATCACAAATCGGGTGTCCGACAGTCACACCACCAGTGAGTCGATCACAGAAATGGATGAAGGGATCACCACTGAAATGGTGCCCACGAATAAGGAACCGGCATTAAAACAGACTATAAAAGACGATTTGTTCACAAATTCGGACATGAGATTAGGTATTGAAAGAAAACTTTATTGATTTATATTATTGATTTGATGTACAAATAGATATAAATATAAAAAATACTAACGTAACTTACGTGACAAACAAATCGTGAGCTTAGTTTAGCAATATTTACCAATCGTTTCTTTGTCAACCTGCTTCTCTAATACATGAGTGGCCTCCAAACCGCGTTTGTCCTCCTGCCGCTGTTTACCACAATAGAGGTCTATGAGTTGCCCGGTGCTAACAAATACATGGGTTTGGCCAGCAATAGGACGGTTGTCCACAAAGCACCCGAAGTACAGCCAACGGTGCCTTCAAAGACACAAATGTTGAAAAATAACGTTAAAGTCTCGGAAAACTCCAAAAATAACTACTATTTTAAGAATGTTCTCAACAGAAGGGCATTGAAAACGAAAAAATGGTTTTGATGTGAACCCTGATAATTAGTTATAAATTAAAAAATTTATTACAAATTATTTTTCCAGACAAATGTTCAATAATTAAGGTAGATAATTTGAAATCAATTTAAAAATAATTACGACTGTAGTATTACTAATTATAGAAATGATTACTTAATTAGATCATAATTATAAATTATTAAATTACTATAGACAAAGTTTTGAAACATTATAAAATGTTATAAAAAATTATATTAATTAATAGCTATTTAAGAATGGACATATTCAATATTGAATTGAAATATTATATTTATTGATTTTTTGAGTAAATTTGATGTTTATATTTTATTGTGTTAAATTTCATTAAAACTTCACAATTTATTCTTCACAAAATATAAAACTTTAAATGTAAAACTCGAGGTCAACACAGTTTATAATTCTAATTAACGATTGTTTTTTTTATTATTTCTATCAATTAAATTTTCAATGTTTTGTTTACACAAAACAATAGTGTATTGAAATGTAATTTACAAAAACAAATAAAAAACAAGTTTGAATAAATTACAAGTTTCATAATAGCACAGATTCATGTGTCACACTTTTTTGACAATTTTTGTATAATGAATATAACATTGTTTTCTAAATTAGTTTTGCATAAATAAATATTATATTTCAAATGTAAAACATATAAAAGATAATAAAATTTTATATTACTTGTTGATAATGAAATTATTATGGAACACATTACACAGTTTAATTCTATTAAAATATGATCATGCTCACTTGCAAAATATTCATTAAAAGGACTTGCTTGGATTGATCTGGAAATTAGCATAAATTAAAAATAAAACATTATAATTTAATTAGTAAAATGAATGTTTATTTGAAAAACTGACACTTATCATAATAAAATATGATCAATCGGTATTTAATTAAATCAATACCTTAGAAATGCAAAATCCATAAAAATCTACCGGTATTTTAAAAATTTCAATAAATCTAAATTTTAAATATTGTAGACAAATAAATATTTTAAAAACATTTGAAATGAAATTAAAATATAACATTCAATATTTATGTTATCATAATTTAGTTTAGTTGAATAAAAAAGTGTTGGATTATGACAATATAAATTTATATGAAATTTATTCTTAAATAAGAAATTTGCATGATAAATATAAATTGATTTGACTACTGGTGATGTAAATTAGCCCACTTTTACGACATTACTCTTTCTTCATGTATATTCCCAACAGAAATAGTCCTCCAAAACAACAACAGAATACGAGTAGACATACGGCAAGTGTTATGAGATATGTATTAATCAAATACAGTGCCAACAGATAGACATTACGATTACAATAGTTTTGAGCGTCGATATCTTCAAACTCTACGGTCGGACTGCTATACACCACAACAATCCCTAAGCAAATACAATAAGACAAAACACAAGTGTATTGTTTAAACCAAACGCTAAGTTATAAAAATATTGTTTATCATTTCGTAAGAGATAAGACTTACATGTAATAAAAATAACTAAATTCAATAGATAGAAGACATTCGTTACGATTAATACAATACGCTTAATAAGGTTTGAATTTTGGTTGATCCTGGGCTTAACTCTTTCCCAAACAAAGCCCAACAACATTAATAAGCCATAGATTATGAGCACTACCGGAATGCCCGGTGCGTTGGGACAGTCTTTCGCATAAACAGCGCCTAAAATATAAATACAATTTCTGTGATTAATAACAAATAATTTTGACTATGATTTAACATGCTTACCCATTATAAAACAGATTATGGCGATTACCAAATNAAATATAAATTGATTTGACTACTGGTGATGTAAATTAGCCCACTTTTACGACATTACTCTTTCTTCATGTATATTCCCAACAGAAATAGTCCTCCAAAACAACAACAGAATACGAGTAGACATACGGCAAGTGTTATGAGATATGTATTAATCAAATACAGTGCCAACAGATAGACATTACGATTACAATAGTTTTCAGCGTCGATATCTTCAAACTCTACGGTCGGACTGCTATACACCACAACAATCCCTAAGCAAATACAATAAGACAAAACACAAGTGTATTGTTTAAACCAAACGCTAAGTTATAAAAATATTGTTTATCATTTCGTAAGAGATAAGACTTACATGTAATAAAAATAACTAAATTCAATAGATAGAAGACATTCGTTACGATTAATACAATACGCTTAATAAGGTTTGAATTTTGGTTGATCCTGGGCTTAACTCTTTCCCAAACAAAGCCCAACAACATTAATAAGCCATAGATTATGAGCACTACCGGAATGCCCGGTGCGTTGGGACAGTCTTTCGCATAAACAGCGCCTAAAATATAAATACAATTTCTGTGATTAATAAAAAATAATTTAGACTATGATTTAACATGCTTACCCATTATAAAACAGATTATGGCGATTACCAAATTAATTATGACTACCAATAATTAATTGTAATAAGAAATAAAATATGTTTTTAATGAAAACTATAAGAAATCATGAATGTATAGCTTGATGCTACTTACCACAAATTAGTACACAATTCTTGTTGTAATACTTCTTGATCTGCTTTTTAGATGCTGATGTAGTTTTCTTACTACCCGTCCCATCGTCCAAACCCTTGATCTTAACATTTTCTTTATTCGAGTCCTCCATTAATCCATTTTCGGCGTCTATTTTGCTATTATTTTGTTCGTTCATCTTCGTCTCAATGATTTTTTACACAACCTTTCATATATCAGTTCAATGTAAATCAATTCATATAACTTTAGCTCTTAATTTGTGTATACGATATGAAATGAAAACAAAATGTTCATCAGCTTTATGCGAGTTTAATCAAGTGCTTAATACCTAAAACATTTTTACAAATCTTAGAGTTTGTCTTAAATTGTTTAGCGATTGAAATAAAATGAATGTTTTATCAGTAAACCATTTCCCACTATTTAGACACGACTTTTGTCTCCATAGCTATTGATAAGAAAGTATTTATTTCCACACCTTATTTAACATTATTGCCTAATCTACGATAACTATTATTTTAATGTGAATTCAATATCTTACAATACTGTATTGTCAAAATAATCATAATTTAGAATTATGCCAAAAATGTGTTCATCAATGTTTCTTTATAGGAATTCAAAAATGCAAGTTTTGAGTACATTTTATTTGATAGCAACTCAATAACTTGCTTGACACAAATCTAATAATCTAAATCTAAACCTGGCTTAAAATAAATATTAGAGATATACAATACATGAAGTAATGTCTTTTTATTAATTCTTTGATAAATTATTATCATTAAATCATTAGATTTGTGTTATTTCTTATTTTTTCAAATATAACTTACGATAAACTAATATAATTACACATAACAATTCTCCAAAATAAGTATTTTATTACAATTCACTTATAAAAAGTCTATATTAACAGAGAAAATGATTGAAAATAACAACAGGCCTTTTGATCGCTATTTACTGGTTGACTGTAATGAAATATTTCATAAATTTAACTCAAATATTTCACTTAAAAATCAATTTCAATCAATTTCACTCAGGGTCCCCATTCAATCGTTTGATAAGACAACTAATATACAGAATAATCATTTTTCCGATTCTGATGACTCTTATATTAGTAATAGTGATCTTGATATTCAGGAATATGACTCTGATATTGAATTTATTGATATGTAAATCCAATGCTTTTATACATTAACAATAAATTTCACCTAAAAGTGAAATATTTCACCAAAAATAAATGTCACTGAAAGTGCCAACCTTACTATTTACACATTAAGGTGTTTTAAACCTTTTAGCACACTCTTTTTAAAAGTCTTATACAATGCTATATGTACCCGGGTACTTTGTTTATAATTCATTTTTATACACTCTTATTATTAGACTTTTTATACACTTTTCGTTTCTTTTATACACTCTTTAATACCGGTAATGAACTTAAAACTAGAATTAAAACTATACAAACATTTTCACTAATAATTTATACACTAATACTGTAATCAATATTTTACAGTATTTGAAAATAAGTGGTCCTGTAGTTTATACGATATAAACTATATAATTTATCTAGCAATTAATATTCCAAATTAAAAACTAAACAAGTTAATTAATTAATTAATATATGAATAAAATACTGCAAACATAATAATGAATGAATATTTTTAAACTCTTTAAAAAAGTTATATATAAATGAAATGAAATATATACCATTGACCTTAATCTCCCAGTGCCCATAAATAAACGGCACCTACCACACAATTTATATGACATTTATGTGTGTAAAATGTCTATTACCTGCCAGTCATGTACCTACCTGTCCCCACTAAATACATTCCCAAACTATTTATTGTTTGTGAACTTGAAATATAGTCTACTATTGAAGCGCCGGTAGACTTTCACTCGAAGAGTGCACATAAAATATGTTTTAAAAGTATTTGTATTTTATGTGATTTTTATGAGAAAATGCAATATTTTTGTGTAGTTTTAAGTCATTTGTGAAGTTATTTCACATTTCTTTTCATGCGATTGAATGCGAGAGAGAGAGAGAGAGAGAGAGAGACTTTGTTATACATAATAAGACTTTTGAAAAAAGTTTTTCTCCAAAAAAATCCAGTCTTTTGTTGTATTATTCACTTAAATCTCACTATAAGTTACTTATAGTGAAAATGTTTTTCAAAATGCAATTATATTTTTCTATTTTGAACATCAAGAACATAATAGTATATTATCTAGGTGCGATTTCGACTTTATAATAAATCTTTCACAAAGTTAATTTATGGGAAACTTTTATGACTTTAATACTAAATATGAAATATATGTCTGAAAAATAAATATAATAATTAATAACTTGTCATTAATTTTCACACAAACTATTCACTAGACTTTCAGTACGAGAGAGAGAGAGAGAGAGAGAGAGAGAGAGAGAGATATGTTTACATAAAATATACTAATTAATTATGAACTAATGAAAAAAATATTTAATTAGTATTAACTTTATAAATATAATTAATGATCTCTAGTGTAACAAATAATTAAAAATATGTTGCCTAATGAATGTCTTACATATTATTTTATAAAATGTCACAAAACTGCTTACATTTGCGTTTAATATATTTAATAAATTAGTACATGTTTAATATATAAATTAATATCATTAATATTAATTATGTTATTTAATTGAGAATATTACTTTATGAAAAAATTAAGTATAAAATATTTATAAGAATTTTATTTATTGTGCAAGAATGTACTTAATATGCACCTTAATATGTTTGACATTCCCGAATATAAGTTCGAGGGCATTTACATCAAACAAATATACTGACAAGGTCATTATTTAAATATATTTATGTTTGTATAATCATTCTTATATGATTGTAAAGATAATCTTATATTTATTTTTAAATTTTATTAAAAGTATTACAAAGGAATAATTATTTATTTAAAGTATATAATATTATTTAATAATACTATTTTGATTATTTTCAATGTTATTTTACTTTTTGATATCATTGGTATATAAAATAATGCTTATGTTACAGTCTGCATGTTAACATACTTGTTAACAGCATTAGATACACCAAATGTGTATATTTTTAATTCTGTTTTCTCCCCTCAGAAAATATAAAGATCTTCAATTAAATCCGAGATGAAAGATTGTTTAATAACTCGCTTATTACTTGTAGTTCAAATCTATACTCTGGCACACTTAGAGTTCATTATGAGGTAGACACGATAAAACAAGAATATTCTGTATGACACCCGGAATATTCTGTGATATTGGATAGTTTGCTGGACCCATAGTCAGCGCAAAGATTTTGTATAATGAATATAACATTGTTTTCTAAATTAATTTTGCATAAATAAATATTATATTTCAAATGTAAAACATATAAAAGAAAATAAAATTTTATATTACTTGTTGATAATGAAATTATTGTGGAACACATTACACAGTTTAATTTTATTAAAATATGATCATGCTCACTTGCAAAATATTCACTAAAAGATTTGCTTGGATTGATCTGGAAATTAGCATAAATTAAAAATAAAACATTATAATTTAATTAGCAAAATGAATATTTATTTGAAAAATTGACACATCATAATAAAATATGATCAATCGGTATTTAATTAAATCAATACCTTAGAAATGTAAAATCCATACAAATCTACTGGTATTTTAAAATTTTCAATAAATCTAAATTTTAAATATTGTAGACAAATAAATATTTTAAAAACATTTGAAATGAAATTAAAATATAACATTCAATATTTATGTTATCATAATTTAGTTTAGTTGAATAAAAAAGTGTTGGATTATGACAATATAAATTTATATGAAATTTATTCTTAAATAAGAAATTTGCATGATAAATATAAATTGATTTGACTACTGGTGATGTAAATTAGCCCACTTTTACGACATTACTCTTTCTTCATGTATATTCCCAACAGAAATAGTCCTCCAAAACAACAACAGAATACGAGTAGACATACGGTCCACAACAATCCCTAAGCAAATACAATAAGACAAAACACAAGTGTATTGTTTAAACCAAACGCTAAGTTATAAAAATATTGTTTATCATTTCGTAAGAGATAAGACTTACATGTAATAAAAATAACTGACTTCAATAGATAGAAGACATTCGTTACGATTAATACAATTCGCTTAATAAGGTCTGAATTTTGGTTGATCATGGGCTTAACTCTTTCCCAAACAAAGCCCAACAACATTAATAAGCCATAGATTATTAGCACTACCGGAATGCCCGGTGCGTTGGGACAGTCTTTCGCATAAACAGCGCCTAAAATATAAATACAATTTCTGTGATTAATAAAAATAATTTAGACTATGATTTAACATGCTTACCCATTATAAAACAGATTATGGCGATTACCAAATTAATTATGACTACCAATAATTAATTGCAATAAGAAATAAAATATGTTTTAAATGAAAACTATAAGAAATCATGAATTCATAGCTTGTTGCTACTTACCACAAATTAGTACACAATTCTTGTTGTAATACTTCTTGATCTGCTTTTTAGATGCTGATGTAGTTTTCTTACTACCCGTGCCATCGTCTAAACCCTTGATCTTAACATTTTCTTTGTTCGAGTCCTCCATTAATCCATTTTCGGCGTCTATTTTGCTATTATTTTCTTCGTTCATCTTCGTCTCAATGATTTCTTACACAACCTTTCATATATCAGTTCAATGCAAATCAATTCATAGAACTTTAGCTCTTAATTTGTGTATACGATATGAAATGAAAACAAAATCTTGATGAGCTTTATGCGAGTTTAATCAAGTGGTTAATACCTAAAACATTTTTACAAATCTTAGAGTTTGTCTTCAATTGTTTGGCGATTGAAATAAAATGAAAGTTTTATCAGTAAACCATTTCCCACTATTTAGACACGACTTTTATCTCCATAGCTATTGATAAGAAAGTATTTATTTCCACACCTTATTTAACATTATTGCCTAATCTACGATAACTATTATTTTAATGTTAATTCAATACTGAACGGTTCGGTAAAAATTTAAAATGCTCAAACGGTAGAGAATTGACTGACCCTGCTAATTTTGCAAACTGTATTGATGTTAAATTAATTCAATATGAATGATGTGTAAATTAAAAATATCATAAAAATTAAAATGGTAAGATAGGTAAAAATGTAAAACTTAGACTGTAACATTGTCCAAAATATTAAAAATATTCACATTTGGTGTATCTAATGCTGAATGCTAACAAGTATGTTAACATGCAGACTGTAACATAAGCATTATTTTATATACCAATGATATCAAAAAGTAAAATAACATTGAAAATAATCAAAATAGTATTATTAAATAATATTATATACTTTAAATAAATAATTATTCCTTTGTAATACTTTTAATAAAATTTAAAAATGACATGATAAATTGTTTTAGTTGATACATGTATGTTTAATTCATTTTGTTAGCAATTAGCATAAATAGCGACACGGTGAACGCAAGTACCTAGTTAAATTGTATGAAATATTAGTTGTATTTAGGAAAATATAATAAATTAAAATAAATATAATAATACTTCAAATCCACGCAATCTATTCATAATAAATAGTATCCAACAGTGAAATCCAATCCTATTATCGGCTATGCGTTCAATGAATGCCAATAACTGTATGCGAATAACATGTTTACAATTATCTACATTGATACTAAATTAGCATAATTGATCATAATCATTTCACCTTAAATTTCAAATTAGTTTGTGTCTTATGCTTATATTTCTGATAAAATGAATTCAACAAAATATACGTCCAATTGGTTTGATTATAAAGTGCTGCCGATATGTGTATTAATAATAATTGACTGATTATAACACACAATAAAATAGGGATAAATATATATTTCAAGATTGCTCTACCATTATGGCCATATACAGCCAGGTAAACAATAGTACTGGTTATCATGGTAATGGTATTCCAATAGAAATATAAGAATTTCGAGTAATAATTATCATTATATTCATTGATTTCCATATGGATTGTGTTTAACTCAAGTAATAACCTTGATACTAGTTGAACAGTATTTCTATTCAACTGATACCTAGCTAACATTGCCCTAAATGAATTGATTTTCACCTGCAGTTGATTAAACTTTAAATTGACCGCGTTGATTTTTAATTTTAAGTAGTATGTAATAATAATATAATAGAAACTTTGGTAAATAATTATATTACAAACATAATAACTCCATAGTGGCAGGCAAAATGAATTAATCACTATAAACAGCATGCTAATATTATATGGTTTGGACATATATAATAATACAGTGTAATAGACAAAAGGGATAATAATGAATGTGAGCCTGGCCAATTGAATTTGTCTATCTAAAAATGTATATAATTTACGGATTTTGAGTAATACATGGCTATCATAGATGCCAATACTTTTAGGTGATACTGAGCCTGATAACATTTCAAATACACGCAAATCTGTGGGAAATGTATTTCTTATAAAATTCAGCCAGTTAATTAATTGACATAATATACATAATAATGATACTGTGCCCAATTGAATACTAAATGCGGCACCGGTGCCTAATATATAATCCATGTTAAAAAGGTATAAATGGAAATCATGAGAGTATTTGTACTTGTTAATGTTAATAATGAATAAATATATACATTTAATTAGAGTTGTGAACAAATATATGAATACAAGTAACGGATGATTAAACCATTTCCTATGAATACCAGATTTCGGTGCAAATAGTGATAAACCAATGGAGTAGTAATGACTGTCAGCACCCCTTACCCTCAATTCAGGGGGTATGGCGAGGGACAGGTCCATATTATACGACATGCTTGGTTAAATCATTTATCTAATAATATGAGTAAATGTTTACAATTATACGTGTAATATTATTAATTAAGTATATATTAATATATAATTATCTTGATTGTAGCTAGTATTTAAAACTTCCCTCACAACCTACTGTATAACTCATATAACCTAGTACATACTAGTATAATATTACCGTAGTGTAAATAAATGAATATACATTTGTTGACAATTTATTTAGTTCATAGTTAAGGGCTATGCAAATGCATTCATCCATATTGATGATTACAATTGTGCATGCTCACATGTTTTAATGATAAGTGGCTCGAAAAGCATTAATTAGGAGATAATACATGAAAATATTTATGAAATATCAACGATCTAATGAATTTAATGATAGTTGAGCACGATACAAATATAACAAAACATGAAATAATGACCTTATTATTATTGTTATTATTGAGGTTTGTATGCAAAACAACAAGATCATTAATTATATAAAATAATAAAATCATCAATCAAATATTCATATTATTTTTAAATGTATTTTTATTTTATTTTTCGTGATCGACAATCATAATCTAGTTTAATTTAAGATAAATGTTTATTATACATATACAATAATATTGTTTATTCATAAAAAAGTATTAACTTATTCTAGGTTATAAAGTTTGGCAACTTATTTATGTACAATCTAATAATCTAGGAAAAATAAGGAATTTTAGTTAAAATATTTTATTTAATTCATTATTTTTATGTACATGTACATAAATATATATGCCCATAATATGTATATTTTAAAATTAATGCATTAAATCACAATTAAATAACTATATGCAGTAATCATTTTATTTAAAGATTAAAATGATCCTTTACTTACCTATTCTTAGTGGGGAACATCATGTCCTGTCAGTAAATTATGCAATTAGGATGGGTATTAAAACAAACTATATGTCTCTATCGACAAAATGAATTGATCAAAATCGGCAAATATCATGAGTTAGTCCCGTAAATCCAGTTATAAACATATTGACATAGTGATTTTACACATACAAATAACATTATTTCTATGGACGGAACTTCATGAACACTCTAACGGCAATGGACCGTCAAATTACAAACAAAGTGTCGTTAGGTTTACCGAAAATATTTGCGTATAAATTCATATTTTAAAGTACTAAATATAATGTTATAGAAATAATGTTATTTGTATGTGTAAAATCACTATGTCAGTATTCGTGATATTTGCCGATTTTGATCAATTCAATTTGTCGATAGGGACATATAGTTTGTTTTAATACCCATTCTAATTGCATAATTTACTGACAGGACACGATGTTCCCAACTTAATTATTGAAAGTTACCAAGGTTCACTCCATTTTTCCAACAATCAATATAAACAAAGTCATGCTAAACGCAAGGACCTATGTAATTTAATTGAATATAAGAATATAAGTAATATTGTATATAAGAAATTTATGTTAAATAGAAAGTAACTGTATACTTTATGGATATATGGTATTAAATTAAGCTACCCCTATGTTCCCAAGTTCCACCGCGACTTCCAACCCTATGTCCACGACCACCATATCCATCGCCCTGGTATGCGCCACCAGAGTCATCAGCACTACTTCTAATATTACCCCCAACACCACCAACAGGTTGTACGGGACCGCCTATTTATGCACCATCAGATGAATGTTTTTTCGGAAATTAAACAGAATCAATATTGCTTATTACCTTGCTATACTTTATAATAGAGAAAGTTCTGGCATATATGCTAATAGACTGTGTTAGTTTTGTAAATTTTAATCTCATAACACAAAAGAGAATATTAATTAAATTAGGTATTTGTTTAATATAGGATTATTGTATAACGAGCTTACCTGATAGTACGAGTATAACCACGGTGAACGAGATTATAGTTATTATATTCATGTCGCCGTAAATTGGATTTAACTTAAAAGTAATTAAGTTTTTAATTTTTTAAAATTGAAATCCCAGACGGAAAATGAAAAACGTATCAAAATTATTTTAATTACTTTTTATTTTCATGTAAACCTTTTCAGACTTTTAACAAAATTAATTTTTACACGCATGACTAGTTAGCATATTTGTAAAATTTATTATAAAAATTAAATTCTTGTCCAATTTTTTAAATAAAAGTAGTTTTTATATGTAATACAACTATTAATTTTACAATTAAATTACTTTTTAAATCATACATTTTTACCACCAAAATAAATATAATCTTGCAATTTACATCATGTGTTACAATAAGTGTTGACATCATTAGTTGCCATTTCACCATAACTACAAGTGCTTGCATACAAATATATATTTTTATTCATTCATATTCAATATTACGTACTGATCTGAATGACGCTAATGAATTGATATTGCTTCCCCCACTTGGCATACACTGATCTGGTGTGTAACCTTTGTCACAATTGTTTTATATTGCGTTCAATAAAAGTCTAGACATAAAATGTAATATTTAATACTTGTTAACAAAATTTACTAAAAAGTTTTATTTAAATAAATTTTTATTTGAACTTAAAATTTTACAATAATAATTTAGACCCGCATGGGTAGTTTTATAAAGTATTTGTCAAATAAATTCTTAAAATTTATCAATTTAATTTTAGAAATTTTTCAATAAACTCAAGTGTGCGAGACCACTTTTGCTTATGGTTTAGTTTTGGTTCTGGTTCCGGTTATTGTTATTGCTGCTACTTCACAAACTTTGTAAAATTTTATCACTTTTATCAACTTGTGTAACAGCTTGTACAGTTTGTTTCTTGTAGCCCTTCTTTATCATTTTCTCCCATACCTTTGGGTGATCCCCAATGAGATTATCACCGGTAGGTTTTTTTTGTACAGGTCTTTGGCCAGGTTTTGGGGCAATGACCGGCCGTGGTTTAACATGCTCTCCTTTATGACTACCAGCCCCACCGGCATTAATATTGACAACCACACCGCCAGCATTGCCAGCGCCATGACGGCCAACATTAATATTAACGACAACA